CCACTGCACTCCAGTCTGGGTGACAGAGTGAGACTCCAACTCAAAAAAAAAAAAGACTAAGTTTGGTATAAAAATGAAACACAAGTAAAATATTAAAAACAGCATGATTAGAAATGCAGTGTCCTAAGGTCTGTGTGTCACAGCAGAACTATAGACCAGTTATAGTCTAAAATTGTATGGGTAATAACAACATAAGCACACAGACAAATTGGAAGTAAAAAGGAGAGATAAGAGGCAAATAAAAGTTTAAAAAGTTCTACAGCCATACTAATATCAGACAATATAGATTCTAGGGCAAAAACCATTATTATAAATAAAGAAGATAATTTCATAATGATAATTATAAAATTATATGTATCCAATAGCAGTTTAAAGAAATATAAAGAAAAAAGCTAATGCTATATGGATAAACTGCTAAACCCACCATCATATTTGAACAACTTTAAAAACCTCTTTTAACAACAGATGAAGAAGACAACAGATTGAAGTATAAAGAAGTACACAAGTAATTACACAAGTAACAGGCATGAGTTAACAGCACATAGAGAATCTTACAGCCAACAAAGAGAGAATGTATGTTCTTCAGGCATATTTATAAAAACTGGCCCTTTATAACACAAAAGACAATTTTTCATACAGATTATGTTCTCTGACAACACAATTCTACAATTAACTTGTAAAACGATAAGAAGACAACCAAGCTATCCCTATAACTTCAGCATATAAAAACAAAAAATCCCCACTTTTAATAGTTAATAGGTCATAGTGAAAATAATAAAAACATTATCTTGATTAACATATCTTACCGATATAATGCGATCTCCCTTTCTGAGCTCTCCACTTAGATCAGCAGGTCCTCCAGCCAAGATAAAGGAAATAAATATTCCTTCTCCATCTTCACCTCCTACAATGTTGAAACCAAGGCCTGTTGAGCCACGATGAAGAACAACTTTTCTAGGTTCCCTAAAAATTAAAAAAAATATTCAATACCTTGAAAACATAACATTCTATCACTGAGAACTACCTATTGATAATGTTTGTATTATCAAATTGTACAGAAAACTAGATAAAATATAAATGATTTTTCCAAAACTATGGGATAAAGAGATTCTTTCCAACCCTAAAAATCAAAAGGAAAAAAATCTAAGTTTTTAAATAAAAGTTAAAAACTTATGTTGCAAAACAAAAATAAACCAAAACAAAAAAAAAAAATCAATGTATAAAATTTAACAATAATGTAGAGTCTACAAGAAATATATATACTCATGAAACGCTGATGTTGTACACACTTAATTGCCTACAAAGTAGTCACTACCCCTGTTTCTTCTTAGATGGTTAAAAAGCAGCTATTCAGCTGGGCTCGGTGGCTCAGCCTGTAATCCTGTGCCTTTGGGAGGCTGAGGTGAGTGGATTGCCTAAGCCCGTGGGTTCGAGACCTGCCTGGGCAACCTGGCGAGACTTCATCTCTACAATAAACCAAAAATTAGCCGGGCGTGGGTAGCATACGCCTGTAGTTTCAGCTACTTGGAAGGCTGAGACGGAAGGATCTCTGGAGCCCAGCAGGTCGAGGCTGCGGTGACCGGGAGCGGCCACTGCACTCCAGTCTGGGCAACAGAGTGAGACTCCAACTCAAAAAAAAAAAAGCAGTTATTCCTTTGTCTTAGAGAAGGTAAGCCCTTCCTCTGTTCTCAAAGAGATGAATCATAACTTCCTAAATGAGTCACCACAATCCTATTCCCCTTTGCTAAGGTGAGGATATAACCCTATTCTGACCTCTGATAAATGCAGGGAAATTTTACTGTCATTTCCCAGAGAAAGACCTAATAAGAACAAAGCACCTTTGCTAACCTCCCCTCCTTTAAATAACAACAAACCCACACAAAGGAAAGAACATTAAAATCTCTTTATTGGTTTGTACATATTACAATCATAAAGGTGAAACCAGGAGTATACCAGACACCACAGGTCTAAAGTTGTTATACCAACTTTGGAATTGCCCATTTCTAGACTTTTTATATAAAATAATTAAATATATTAATTGTTTAAAAGCCACTATTAGCGATTTATTTCTGCTTTTCATCAGTCCCAAGATACACCTACCTTTCTCCTACACATTGATAAAAATCTCTGAAATACATCTTACATTAACAATTTTTTTACAATTGTTGGTAACTAGAAATAGTTGTGTAAAACCCATTCACACTTTCTGGTAAGACTATGAAAGTACCAGCAGTAGATTAATTTAGATTTGATGAGACACACAATATCATTTAAACAGGTGAAACAGAAAATAGTTGGTAAATATTTTTTAAAAACTTTTAAGTTTTCTAAAATTTTGCAGAAAGCTACTGATCATATAAGACTTATTTAATAGAGTTAAATGTTTTTTGTTTAAAATGAATTTCAGGAATCATTCCATATAATATGCCACTAATCTTCTTAAACATCTGTCTGCTCAAAATGTAAACGATATTTTCTATTCATAAAGAGTTATTTTGTCATTATTCAGTTTTCCCAAAGCACTTGTAGGGTTCACAGAATTATATTTTCTTGTCAAAAATAGTAAAACCAAACAACATATTGCTTGGGGAAACAATATATGTGAACAATAAATAAACACACACAAAAGAAAAACAGAAAACTCAAGAAAACAGTTAATCTGAGGATAGCAGAGTAGGACAGTCAGGGCTGAATCAGGGCACAGATAGGTATCACTACACTGGTGATGTTTTATTTCCTATGTTAGATAGTATATTCGTGGGTTAGAACGCCTACTGCATTTTAAAATATATGTATAAATTATAATTTTATGTTAGCAAAAAACACCCGGTTGAAATCCAAAAGTATTTCCAGTGGAAAATATATTTTGATTTTCAAATAATATAAGCACTGAAAAAATGTTCAATGTCATTAATCATTAGGGAAATACAAATAAAGACCATAATGAGATACTTCACACACCTACTTGGATGGCTATGAAATAACACAAAACAGAACGTAATAGGTGTTGATGAGGAGGTGAAGAAACTGCAACTCTCATATATTACTAATGGGAATGTAATGGTACAGCCACTATAAAAAAGTTTGGGAGGCCAGGCTCGGTAGCTCAGCCTGTAATCCCCAGCACTTTGGGAGGCCTAGGTGCGTGGACTGCCTGCGCCTGCAGGTTCGAAACCATCCTGGGTAACTTGGTGAGACCTCATCTCGACAACAAATTAAAAATTAGCTAGGTGTGGTAGGTGTACTTGTAGTTCTGGCTACTTGGAAGGCTGAGGTGAAAGGATCGCCAGAGTCCAGCAGATCGATGCTGGGGTAGCCATGAGTGTGCCACTGCACTCCAGCCTGCGCGACAGAATGAGACTTCAAAAAAAAAAAAAAAAAAAAAGTTTGGGATTCCTCAAAAAGCTAATGCAGAATTATCACAAGATCCAGCAATTCTCTTAGGTATATGTATATCGTAAGTAACTGAAAGTAGGAACTTGAGAAGATACTTTGTATGCCAGGGTTTATTACAGTATTAGTCACAATAGCCAAAAGGTGGAAATAACTTGAGTCTATCAACTCAAGAGTCCAGATGAGTAAACAAAATGTGGTTTATACTTGTACATATAATGGAATATTATTCAGTCATAAAAAGGAATGAAATTCTGATACATGCTATAACATGGATAAACCTTGAAAATATTATGTTAAGTAAAATAAGCCAGTCACCAAAGGACAAATATTATATGGTTCCACTTATAGAAACTGTCTAGAATAGGAAAATTCTAGAATAGACAGAAAGTAGATTAGAGGTTATGAGAGCATGGGAAGATAGAGTTATTGGAAAGTTATTGCTCAATGGCTATAGAGTTTGAGGTAATGAAAAGGTTTTGGAAATAACGCTAGGTGCATAAAACTTTGATTGCAATTCATGCCACTGAATTGTATACTTTCAAATATTTAAAATCACATGGCATATATACTTTACCACAATTTTAAAAATTGATATAATATGCCAAAAATTGTTTTGCACATTTATTTATTATTTTTGAGTCAAGGTTCAAGGTCTCACTCTGTGGCCCAGGTTGAAGTGCAGTGTCATGATCACAGCCTACTGCAGTTCGACCTCCTGGGCTCAGATGATCCTTCTGCCTCAGCCTCCTGAGTAGCTGGACTACAGGTGTGCGCCACCATTCTTGGCTAAATTTTTTTGGTAGAAATGAGGTCGATGTTGCCTAGATTTGTCTTGAACACCTGGGATCAAGCAATCCTCCTGCCTCAGTCTCTCAAAGTGCTAAGATTATGGGTGTGAGCCACCATGCCGAGTTGAGTTGTACACTTTAAATGGGTGAAATTTATGGTATGTGAGTAACATCAATAAAGATGTTAATAAATAAACTTCAGAACCACCAATGTGTTTATATGTTATGATCTTTTTTTTTTTACTGTGAAGAATTTGGAATGTTTGGGCAAAGATTTTGTATTTGATTATCACAAAGTATTGTGATTATCAAAAGGAAGTGATAAAACACACACCATTTTAACAAGACATATCTAGTAATCAACCACTTGATTTTTTACAGAAAAGCATGGAAACAGGTCGGCCAATCATGTAATAATAATGCTTCAAAGTCCAATACAATATTTCAGACAAGAGATATGAATAACAACTGATGGACAGCAATCAAGGTACAAATCAACTTATCTTTTAGTTTAAAAATATACAGAGACTGATTAGAGAAAAGATTATGTAAATCACTAACTATTTTTCCTCGTTACTGTCTTACATAGGCACTATTAGCAAGTAACAAAAATAAATGGCCATCAAAGATCAGCCTAGAAGCACTGCAAGACTAACAGCCTTAAAAATAATAGCCGTGAATATTCATATCACAAATAAGAACAATTCTTTCTGCTAGTTTTCATTCCAAACACAATTATTGAGCACTTACTAACTTCCCAACATTGCCAACTTTTTAAGAAGTAAGAAAAGATAACACACTCCTATTTGTTCTTAAGAAGATTATCACCTAGAATTAGGAGTCTCACATAAGGAAAGATAATTATAATTACAAAGTTCAAAAATAAAAATGTGAATAATGTAATTAACAAAAACATAAAAACAGATATCAATTAGCATACATTTTAATGTTGAATGCCATATGTAATATAAAATATTTGTATAAACTATAAAGCAAACTGTACATAGTGTCTTATTATTATACTGAATAACTTGAAAATGCTTTTCACTGATTTTTTTCCTACCTCATTAGAATTCACTGGGACTGAAAAACAGTTAATCTACAGACTTCAGTGCAGTTAGTCATGTCAGATAAAAGTAAGTATTTTGTGTCAGGATATCAAGAATAATCAATACACTTGTTGAATTCTGAACATGAATTAAAAAAAACTGCTATAATATTTCACAGTATATATTAAACAACATAAAAAGTTAGCTTAAAATACCCACAAGTATTTTATTAACTTACTTTTACTAATGTCTAAGAACAATTTACCAAGCTTTAAAAAGAGCAATATTTTTAAAAGGTTTATTTGTAATATAAAATATTTTTATATTTCAGAAAAAAATTCAATGAAAAAAGTTAAGGTTTAAGTTCATCAACTGTCAATTAAATTTTTTTAACCCTAAAAATTGTGGTCATCTTATGTGGCTGATTAAAATTCAGTTTAATAGTTCAGTTAGATTTTGTGTAAGAAGGATGAATATTAAGTTTCCTACCTTGTAATTTCATCATCTCCAAGCACTGCTTTAGAAACTGGTGAGTATCTGGCTGGTGATGCTGGTGTCTGACCCAAGTAGGAAGATGGGCTAACATGGTTATCAGCAGGTTGAGAAGAAGCTTCAAAACAAAGAAAGTAAAAATACTTAAAAAATGAAACAAGCCACATAGTGCCCCATTTATGAATTATTAAATTTAAAGTTAATGAACAATTTATATTCACTCTTTTGTATATCAGAGTTTGGCAAAAGAGATTTATTTATCAGCTAAAGAACTGGACAAGCTGTTTCCAGGTAGTTTAGATAATGAGATAAACAGAACAAACTTATCCCATTTGGTATCTTTTGAGAAAATACAACTAAAAGGGAGTTTTACATTAACTTATTCACGCAAGAAAGGGCACTTAAAAGATTGTCATGGGAAAGAAAAATAAGTAAATCTCAGTACAATAACTTCATTTTTGAGAAGTTATTTTGCAGACTATTAAAAAAAATTATACAGTCAAAATTCAATCCTGAATAAAAGTCAGAAGCTTAAAAACAGGTGTGAAAAGCCTATGTTCTCATATCAGCCCAGATCTGCCAACCTAATTTATATCTATTATTTTTAACTCACCCACAAAATAAAATAAACCTGATAAAAAGCAAAAAATAAGCAGAAACTATTGGTTCATTTTACTAATAATAAATATCATAGATATGTTAACACTTTAGCCAAAGCTAAGAACAGAAAATTATAAAGCTATTCCTGACCATGCTTTTCAAAGACCCAGGTGAACAACACATTCCGACTGCTTACAAAAACACAACACATTTGAATTATCTGAATCATTACCAAAATGCATAGAAAGCAATATTTAAACTTCTTGAGGCTTTAACTAAGATGAAGTTACAAAACATTTCAAAATTAGATGTATTATTTAATGAACAAACAACAATCTCTTCTTTCATTAAATCAGTATCTTCTATGACGAAGTACTATGTTACACATCGAAGCTACAAAAATGTAAAGCTCATTAGTTCAAATTACTGTGCTGGCCAAATAGGTAACATAAAGAAATAAAGTGATCTGGATGAAAGACAGTGGAAATAACTGGAATCATGGTATACTGGAAAAATGCATGCTCTATCAAAATGATAAGGCATCTATACATCTTTATCTGTTTGTAATCATACAAAAAGAATTCTACAATGTCTATTTGATAGTATAGGGCTTGGAGATCTAGTATAACTATTGGTATTATTGGTGCGTAGAACCCAACAGTAATTGTTTCCTATCCAGCTTATATATAAGATGATATAGTATGTGAACTAAAGGACTTTCTACCAATGGATCTTGACTTTTTAGTCCAAAGTCTTTCCTAGATGATATGTAAGAATATCTATGGTTTTTTAAGGGAACTGGCATGTAGCCCTAAAGCAACAAATATTAGCCTTTAAAAAATCCAGAGTTTACTGATTTTTGACTCAATTCCTTTTCTACATCTTCGTGTTTGGATGGAACAAAAAACAACTGGATAGGAAATTCTGTCAAATACCCAAACCAGAAAACGTACCTTTTCCCTGCCATATCCAGATTAACCCTTTAGTCAATAGATTCTTTCTGGAGCATTTAATTGCACATGTAAATAAGGCACAGTATTCCTGACAGCAAGGAATAAAAATTAATATTCCTATGAAAAAATAACAGCTCCAAAGAAAGATCAGATAAAATAATGCTATTTCTTATACCCAACTAAATCTTATGCAAAAAGGTCCCCCAAAGAACTACAAAACAAGGCAGCTTAATTGATTATCCTTAGATATCAAGATTAATGACTCAAGACCTGTAAGGTTTAGGAGAAAAATAAGTAGCAGAGCTTGAAGTGAAAGTGGGAAGAGAATGGTGGCCAAATCAGAAGTTTAACAAGGTTCTCCAGCTAAAGAGAATGTTAAGTTGAAAATGAGAAGATATATAAAGAAAAAGCATGAACATTTTAATGTCAGTAGAGAAATTTTATTCTCTGTTAGATCCATGGCCTTTCTTTTCTTCAGTAATAAGCCTGTTCTATTCCTGGATATCGTATTTTGGTTATTATCTATATTCTGATTACCTTATTTTGGTTACAATGACAGATTATCGTCTATGACTCACAGATAACTTCTATAACCTTCTCTCTCATTACTTTCTTTACTATTCTTGCTAAAAATATTTTCTGTCTAGCATATAAATTATTTTCCAACTTTGACATCTGCTCACTTACAGGGCTGTTTCTGCCAGAAACACCCCCTCCATCAGTGCTTGACAATCACTGCAAAAAAAAAAAAAAAGTCAAATGTGATCTCTTTTCTGCTTAGGTAATAAGGGACAGAAAACTCCGAATAGTTTTGTATCTGCTAAGGAAAATGGATTAAAAACTTAAATCCTTCCTAAGAAAATCCCAGGACCACACAGATGGGCTTCACTGATAAATTCAATCAAACATTTGGGGATAAAACAAAATCAATTTTACCCAAACTTTCAGATAAAGGAAGAAGGAAAGAATGTTTTTCAACTCATGCTATGAGACCAGCATAACCATAATACCCCAAAATGACAAGGACAATACAATAATGAAAAACTTCAGAACACTCTTAAGTTCATGCATATGAACATACACACTCTAAAAATAGAAGCCGTTCAAAACCAATGATATATAAAATATATCATTATCATGTGGGGATTTTCCCACAAATGGATGGTTGGTTTAACATATGAAAATCAATGTAATTTACCACAATAACAAAATAAAGGAGAAGAAACATCTCAATAAATGAATAATTTGATGAATTCAAAACTCACAAGTTAAAAACTCTTTATAAACCAAAAATAAAGGTTAAGTTTCTTAATCTGATAAAGGTTATCTACAAAAGACCTCCTGGCAACTCCATAAGTAAACATTACACGATATTCATTTTCATCTTCTCTAACACTGAACTGGAGGTCTTACTAGTGAATCAGACAAGAAAAAAGAAAATGAACAATAAAGAGATGGGAAAGGAGAAAGTAAAACTACCATTGTTCACAGAAAACATGATTATATACATACGTAACCTAAAAGAATCTGTAAAATATTAGAATTAATGAATTTGGCAAGATTGTTGACTATACAATCAATATACAAAAACCAGTTGTATTTCTTATTTTTCAGTTAAAATTAGAAACATTAAAAAAGCAGTACTATTAATGATATAAAAACATAACAAATCGAATAAGATTTATAAAACCTCTATCATACTATAAAACACTGCAGAGACTGTAAAAAGGACTTCAATAATTCGAAGGAAACATCATGCTTATGGACTGACTAGAAAGACTCAATTTTATTTCTTCCTAAACTGAACTGTAAATTTTTTGAATCTAAAATGAATAAGAAAATTCAAAGAAGACTCAACATAATCTTGAAGAATAACAAAATTGAAAGATTTACATAAACAGAAATCAACATTTTTAATAAAGTTATGGTAATTAAGAGAATATAATGTTGGCATAAGAGACTATAGTGCTGGTATAAAGACAAATAGATAAATAAAACAGAAGGGCTGAGAAACAGATCCATACATAATATGGGTAACTAAAATATAATAAAAGCACCAATGTAATTCAGTGGCAGAAATGATGCTCTTCAATAAATGGTGTTGGATCAACTGGCTATCTGTATATTTTTAAAACTCTCATATTACATGCAAAAATTAAAATGACTCAGACATAAATGTGAAAGGCAAAGTAATAAGGCTCTTAGAGGTCATTTATGCTTGGGATGGAAAACAATTTCAGTGAGTCACTAAAAGTACTACTCATGGGAGAAAAAACTGATAAATTGGCTTAAGTTTCAACCATCAAAAATCACCATTAATAGAAAGGGAAAAGGGAAAACATAAACTTGGTGAAAACATTTGCAGTAAGATATAACTGATTAGGGCAACCCACTCAGGTCCCTTCCCACTGTAGGAGCTTTTCTGTCCTCTTAATAAATCCTACTTAAAAAAAAAAAAAAAAAAAAAAATATATATATATATATATATACACACACACACATATATACACATACACACACATAACTGGCTAAAGAGCTATTTCTTGAAAACATAAAACTTCACATTAGGACAGACAAAACCAATAGAAAAATGAATAAAGATTTTAACAGACTGCACTGAACAAGATAGTCAAAGCAATAAGCACAGGTAAAGGTGCCAAACATCATTAAATATTAGGAACAACCAGCAACTTGTAAATTCAGCAATAATAAGTGAGTAAAAAAAATTGCAATAAAATGAGTTAACACTATACATATTCACAATGTCCATAACTAAACAGACTGATAATACCAAGAATTGGTGAGGACGTAGAAAAATGGGGGTATAAATTGTTTCCAATAAGTTGAATTTTCATTTATTTATTTATTTTAGAGACAGGATCTCACTCTGTGGCCCAAACTGGAGTGCAGTGATACTATCATGGCTCACCACAGCCTCCATCTCCTGTGCTCAGGTGATCCTTTTGCCTCAGCCTCCCACGTAGGTGGGATTACAAGGTACACTACCACATCTGACTATTTTTTTGATTTTTTGTAGACATGAGGTCTTGCTATGTTGTCTAGGCTGGTTTCCAACTCCTGGACTTAAAACAATCCTCCCACCTCAACCTCCCAAAGTGCTGGCATTACAGGGATGGAGACACTGAACCTAACCTTGGAAATTGTTTAGCAATAACAATTGAAGAGTAAGCATTGCCTACTCTACAACACAGCAATCTCATTCCAAGAGAAATAAGTGCTTATGTTTGACAAAGATGTGTAAAAATGTGCACAGTAGCTATATTCATAATATATCAAAACTAGAAGTGACACCCTCAAAAAAAAAAAAAAAAACTCCACCTGACTGATACATATAACCACACTGACAGATCTCTCATACTTTATGTTGAAAAAAAGAAGCACGACACAAAAAATACAAATTGTGTAAGAAATTTAAGAACAAGGTCTAATATATCTATGCATAATTAGTACCACATAGACATATATATTTAAGAACAGATCTAATACATAAAGATGCAAGTGTTTACTCTGGGGTAGGGAACTGATTAAGAAGAGGCTTGAGTAAATCTTTTGGGGTGCTAGAAATATTTTATATTTCAGTAAGATGGTTACAAAGGTACATGCATTATGTAAAAACTTACTAAGCTGAACTCTTAAAATTGATTCCCCCTTCTAAATGTAAATTTTACTTCAATTAAAAATTAAATAAAGAGCTGATTTTCCTACCAAGCAAAGAACAGTAGTTGTTGGAATAGTAGCTGGAAGTATTTTGGATCATAGGAAGATGGGAAATGTTTTCTACTCTTTTAAGACAGGAAATGTTAAAACATGTTTGTGTGCTGATGGTAATGATCTAGTAGAGAGATAATCTGGCTCTGCAAATGAGAGAAGCGGCAGAAGCAAGAACAAGATCTTTGTAGACAAAGAAATGATGAGATTGAATATACAAAGAAATGATTTTCTAAAGTAATGACAGTTACCCTATTACAACACAAGGGAAAGCAAAATTTTGGGGGTAAAGACATAGCTACATACGTATATCTGAAAGTGGAAGGATAAAGAAATTCTATTCTAGGTGCTTATAGTAAATATCAAGTGAGATAATCAGTTATGACCAAAGAGAGGATGGCATGTGAAGGCTTGAGGAGAAGAAGAATTCTCAGAATGGGAGTGTGAATTAATTAAGCATATGTAGTAGGACTTCAGGCAAGAGTGAGACCCCATATGTGATTTACGGTCATAAGTTAAAAGCACAATTTTGTGCTTTTCTCCAGTCATGCTCTACTTTTTAAGGGAGCATGAATGAAATGGCAGAGTTTGGTCAAACCAGTATGGAGATTTTGTCAATAAAGAAGGAAGGGATAAAGGATGACATGTACAAGGAAGTGAATATGATAATAAACCAGGGAATCTTTACTAATAAAAGTAGAAAAATGGAGATAAAAGGTGGCAATAAAATGATATTGAATGCTAAAGAGCAAACATGGGGTGAATTGTTAGGATGGGGTGAATGAACTGAAGGTTATAGTCAGAGAATGCTATAATTCAAATGGAGATTTTAGAGGTATATTATCATCATTACTGATAATAAGACCTAAAAGTATTATCTTGGAAGCAAGCAACTGAACAGAAGTTGAGGGCAGGATAGTTAGAAAGAGATCAAGAAACCAAAATCTAGAGTATTAGATGAATCACTAGTATGGCTTTTAGATGTCACTAATAATGACAGTGTGAGTAATAGTAGCAAAGAAGATAGGCCTGGACTACAATCTCCCGTGACTAAAGTTAGATTGGTGAGACCACTAGATGACTACAACAAGGAATAGGCTGTGGGTTGAAAAGTCTGATAGTAAGACAACAGCAAGGGCTTCAAAAGACCTGATAGGTAAAAACTGTATATATATAAAAAGAAGTGCAAATGTTTTCTAAAAAACACAAATAAATTGCATATGCAAAATACATATGGATGGGAAGTATGCAACAAAATTCATAATTATAATTGCCTAAGAAGGGGGATGGAAGCAAAATATGATAAAGTTGAACTAGCAAAGCAAATTTCAATTTTTTCATAATTGCTATTAATTCAGTAACAGAAAAAAAGTTGTTCATGGAACCAGTCACAAATGTGCACAGGGTTGTTTTAAGGAGATAGGCAACATTGAAAATAAAATTGACACTTGGAATAATAAAACAGCTTGTTGTTTAAAATGTGTATTTAATCACAAATAAAAAAAATATGCAAAGTCCTTACATAAAGATTATACATAAGAACAAGTGTATGTAAGAATTCCAAATTAGTAGCAAAGCTGTTTTCTTTGACGTAAAGGAAGTATAAGATACGATTTCTGTCCATTAGAAAGATGGAATACCATTAAGGAAATAATTCAGTTATACTTGAGTAATTAATGAATCAGTGAGCAGATAATGGAGGTGTATTGTTGAAGGACAGTATGTAGATTTCAAAATATAAATATAACTTGTATTTAACTTATGATTAGTGATGGTAATGAATCTTGACAGTCCTAAAATTAGATACATTGTCATTTATAAAATCACAAATATCTCTAAAATTCTACAACTTAAAAAAAGAAACAGTCAAAAGCAGATTACAAAGAGTATATTTAAGATCTTTATTCTTCATGGGTTATTAAAACATTAACTCAATGCACAGAACAAATACAGCTTTCATTTTTCAACCAACACAAGTACATTAAAAACATATCTAAATCTCAGTTTATACGTTAAAAAACTGAAAATCAAATAAGAAACTTAAGAATACATAGTACTTTAAAAACAATTCGATTCTATGCAAAAAAAATTGAATTGCACACAAATATAGGCAATATACTAGGACTTTAAAGTACAAAGATAGCAGGTGTGGTGGCTCGCACTCATAATCCCAGCACTTTTGGAGGCTGAGGTAGGAGTACTACTTGAGCCCAATGGTTTGAGAACATTTTGGGCAACATAGCAAGACCTCATCTCCATAAAAAATAAAAAAATTAGCCAGGCATGTGGCCTGCGCCTGTAGTCTCAGCTACTCGGGAGACTGAGGCAGAAGGATTGCCTAAGCTCAGGTGGTCACAGCTGCAGTGAGTGGTGATCACACCATTGCACTCCAGCCTGGGCAACAAAGACCCTGACTAAAAAAAAAAGTATAAAGACAGTATTCATCCTCTTGTAGCTGAGAGTGCTCAGCCTGTAATCCCGCACCTTGGGAGGTTGAGGTGAGTGGATTGCCTGAGCCCGCACGTTCGAGACCCGCCTGGGCAACTTGGCGAAACCTCATCTCTACAATAATTCAAAAAATTAGCCGGGCGTGGTAGTGGGCACCTGTAGTTCCAGCTACTTGGAAGGCTGAGGCGGAAGGATTGCCGGAGCCCAGCAGGTCGAAAGAAAAGAAAATCTGTTAAGGTTTAGAAATATTTTAAATCAGTGTTTCTCAAAGTGCAGTCCATAAATGAAGAGCATCAGAAGCATCAGAATTACAGGTATATCTCAGAGATACTATAGTTCCAAATCACCATAAAAAAGCAAATATTGCAGTAAAGACAGTTACACAATTCTTTTTTATTTCCCAGTGTACATAAAAGTTATATTTACATTATAGCTAGTCTACCAAGTATGCAATAGCGTTATGCCTAAAAATATATAATACAAATGTTAATTAAAAATAATTTATTGCTAAAAATGCTAATGATTATCTGAGTCTTCAGCAAATTGTAATTTTTTTGCTGGTGGAAGGTCTTGCCTTGATACTGATGGCAGCTAACTTATCAGGTTAGTGGTTGCTGAAGGCTGGAGTGGCTGTGGCAATTTCTTAAAATAGAATAAGGAATTTGGGCCATATTAATTGAGTATATCCTTTCACACAAGATTTATCTATAGCATATCATGCTGTCTGATGGCATTTTACCCACAGAAGAACGTCTTTTAAAATTGTGGCCAATTCTCTCAAACCCTGCTGCTGCTTTATTAACCAAGTTTTAGGTAATATTCTAAATCCTTTGTTGTCACATCAACGAAGTTGTCAGCATATTCATGAGGAATAGATTACATTTCAAAAAACCACTTTCCTTGCTTATCCATAAGAAGCCACTGCACATCCATCAAAATTTTATCATGAGATTGTAGCAATTTAGTCACTTCCTTGGGATCTACTTCTAATTTTAGTACTCTTGCTATTTCTGCCAGATTTGCAGTAACTTCCACCACTGAAGTTTGAACCCCTCAAAATCACCCATTGGGGTTGAAATCAACTTCTCCCAAACTCTCATTAATATTGATATCTTGACCCCCTCCCTTAAAGGTTCTTAATGGCATCTAGAATATTGAATCCTTTGTAGAAGGTTTTCAATTCACTTTGCCCAGACTCATCAGAGGAATCCCCATCTATGGCACTTATAGCCTTATAAAATGTATTTTCTATATAGTAAAAATAAATTGAAAGCTTTCATTATTTGCAAAAATTCTTCAGTGACTATTAATTAATACCACAAAATAGTTAAGGTGAAAAAGAATCCCCTTTCTAATTATGAAAAAATTTAATAACTACTAGGTTAAAATGCTTAATAGTTCCTTTAAAATTATTTTTATAACCTTAGCCTTTTAATATTATAATGGTAGCATTGCATTAAAGTGCATCACAAATATGTGAAATAAGACAAATTTCAGCAAACTTAAGCAAACAGACTTACAGTTGGTGATATCAGGTGGTGCGTAGCCATCGTTCATATACATACTTGTGGGTTTTGCCACTTTCAAATAAACAAAATCAGATGTATTCTTTAACGCAGTCACTGCTTCTTCATGAGTAACTTCTTCTAAACATACACTATTCACCTAAGAAAAAATCCCAAAATGCATTTATTTTAAGTAGTTTTCTGGTTTTGGGTTATAAACAATTACAGCAAAAGATATGAGGAATAAAGGAATTGAAAGGAAATAAAGGTGTGTGGAAACAAACTACTCATTTTTAATGTCTATGATATCAAGTTGTTTATGATGACATATAAAGTTGATTTTCTATGGTATGTTAATGGATAGCCAATCTTGATTCTAGCTCCTCTTCTCCTCCAGTCTCAACTTCCTCCCACTCTTTGGCATTTATGAATGTGTGAGTCTTTTCTTTTAAAATAAAGATATGAAACCATATTAAAATTTTTGTTCTGCAAATGGATTTATAATGTTAAAGTATCTTAGAGACTGATGTTGGGACAAATAGAATCACTACATTTAAAAAATTGTTGCAAAGAAAGAAGATATACGAGCGGTCAATGGATACATGAAAAAATGCTCAGCCTCACTAATCATTAAAGAAATGAACGGCTGGGCATGGTGGCTCAGCCTGTAATCCCAGGATTTTGGGAGGCCGAGGTGAGTAGACTGCCTGAGCCCGCAGGTTCAAGACCAGCCTGGGTAACTTGGCGAGACCTCATCTCTGCAATAAATAAAAAATTAGCCGGGCGTGGTAGCGTGTGCCTGCAGTTCCGGCTACTTGAAAGGCTGAGGTGGAAGGATTGCCAGAGCCCAGCAGGTCGACACTGGGGTGGCTGTGAGTGTGCCACTGCACTCCAGCCTGGGAGAGAA